GAGTGAGCTCATGTTTAAACACACACTTTTGTATATTTGTAAGGATGCTCATTGACATAAAACGTTCCCTAGCCCCTAACCCTATTCATAACAACTACCCCCAACCTTTAGCTTAATCCTAACACCAAGTCTTAAAACTCAAACAGCCCTTTGAAGGTACAGTATGTGAGACCATGAGGACCAGCCAAAATGTCCCCACTCCCACAGTATAAAAACTGAAACTTGGCCTCATATCCATACAAGTACACACACACACACACACACACACACACACACACACACACACATCAACAGTGTGTTTGTACTTCCCTTGTGTTGAACCAGACACCCACTAGTGCTGCTACACACTGAAGTCTTTTCTTGCAGCTTCATAATTACTCAAAGAGACAAGATACTGTACATGGTAGAAATCCAAAGACCCATTATGCAAAGCAGGTATTGGTCCTGCTATGAATATTATTATTCAGATTTTGGTATCCCTTCTTCAGTCCTGCTGGTCGTATTTTGCCATGCAGTTACTGTACAAAATAAGAATATACAGAAATGCTATTACCTAAACAAGAGATCAAGTCCATCAATCTGACGGACTGGAGACCCTCGCAATTTTGCATGTCAGTTCAATCAGACTCAAGTAGATGAGATATTTCATATTATTTCACAAAGCAATGAATGGGAAGACGCATTAAGATGTGTCTGAAGGCATCTTAAGCAAGAACCAACATCTGTCACCATTTGGACCTCGCTTTCTGATTTTTTGTCTTTTTCCCCATCTCTCCCTGCCTGTCACGCCCCACCAGCGTAATTATCCATTGTCACCTCCACCTGTTGCTCATTTACTCCTGGACTTTCCAAGCACACATATATGCCCTCTTCCTGTTAGTTCCCCAGCTGGTTCGTTTGTTGACTCACCCATGCTCCCACTCTCTGTGACAGTGCCCATGCTCCAGCGCTCTCGGGTGTTCCTCTGTTTTTCCCCGACTCTGCACTCTCCAGTCGTGCACTCTCTCGTCATGGGTCCGGCTCTCCGTTCCCCAGCTCCACCACTCTCTGGCTCCACACTTTCCAGCCATGCACTCGCCATTTCTTAATTCTCCTTGTGAGTCCAGATCCCCATTCCCCAGCTCTGCACACTCCAGCTTTCCGTTCCCCAGCTCTGCACTCCCCAGTCATCCACTTGCCTCATGGGTTCAGCTCTCCATTCCCCAGCACTCCCCTCTCCTTTCACCTGCCTCCACTGTGGGCGCTGCTGCATCTGCTGTCAGCATCCACACTGCATGCCTGCCTCATCCCCAGCTCCACGCTGCCTGCCTTTTGTCCAGTTCCATGCAGTCTGCCTGTCCCATCCAGTACCTCTGTCCCGTCCCCCCAGCCAGTGCCTGCGCTGCCCCCGTTTCATCTCTCCTCCACCCAATAACCTGACCTTTGGTTTGTTCAATAAACTCCTTTTGTGTTCCACTCCTGGTGTGTGTCTGTATATTGGGTCTATCTGTATCTGCCCCGTGACAACATCAGTTCTTCCCTACAGACACAGAAAATTACTTGAGCTATGGGTTCAGATCAATTCTGTAACGTCATTGGGAAAAACAAAATGGTAAAGACTTGCTCATTTCTCTTTAATAACAAATATTTAATTGCTAAACCTGTGGCTTTACGGTGTAATGAATCTTGCATGCTCTCCTGTGTTTGTCGTTTTTCCTTGCTTTCTCTGTCTCTTGCAACCCATCCCAGATTACTTTCACCAGAGAAAAACTATTAAACATCGGACAGCAACAAACTACCTTTCTCTGATTTCTGTGAACGAATAATGCTGTGTGGATATTCTGATCAGAGATGCACCTGCAATCTATGGGACTTCACTTGCCTCGCAGGCGCCCTAGTCAGGCTACACCAGAGAGGGACATGGACTCCACTCCCATTTATGTACCTAGCGAATCTCCGCTCCCTAGCCAACAAGATGGATGAACTCGTTCTCGTCAACAGGACCAACTCTGACTTTGCACGCTCTGCTGCTTTATGCTTCACAGAGACTTAGCTCAGCAACTCCATCGCAGACAGCGCAATCCAAGTACAGGGCTTCCAGATATACAGAGCTGCCTGGGAAAACAAGAGGGGGAATCGCATTTCTATATAATTAAGGTTGGTGCACAGATGTCACAGTGCTACAAAGAACATGTAACATAGAATTAGAGACTCTTGCTAGCATGCTACAGCTCCTGGCCAAACTGATAACTAGCGTGGAACTGGAACATCCTGACTCTCCACTCATTGTTCTAGGGGACTTTAACAAAATCTCACCCAAGAACTGCCCAAATACAGAGAGCACCTCACCTGTCCCACCAGGGACAAAAATCACACTGGACCACTGCTACACTGCAATTAAAGATGCCCATCGCTCTGTCCCCCACACAGCCCTTGGACTCTCTGATCATTGTATGGTTCATCTTATTCCAATCTACAGGCAGAAACTTAAAGTTGTGAAGCCTGTGGTCAAAACAGTGAAGAGCTGGACTGAGCATGTTAAGTCAGAGCTACAGGCCTGCTTTGACTGTACAGATTGGAGTGTATCTGAGGCTGCAGCAATAGACCTGGCTGAACTCACTGACACCATGACATCTTACATCAGCTTTTGTGAGGATGTGTGTGTGCCCACCAAGTACTTCTGCACATACAACAACAAGTTCACAGTAAGACTCAAGCAGCTTCGTCATGCCACAGAGGAGGCTTATAGAAGTGGGGACAGGACTCTGTATAGCCAGGCCAGGAACACATTGACAAGGGAGATCAAAGCAGCAAAGAGGAGCTACTCAGGTCAGCTGCTCTTGCATACCAGCCACCTGGTTATGGCATTCCATGTATGCCCTGCCTGCTAGCATCTTGCACCCTGCTGTTAAGTGCTGGATTGTCTCAGGAGCATGTTTGCACAGCCTGCACCTGGGGTCCTGTCTGGTATGGTAGACCCCTGTCTCTATTGAACTTGTACTTAGAGCTTGTTCTTGTGCTGCCAGGATTAGTGCCTCTGTGCTGTCTTTCAGTCCAGCTTTGTTCAGCCACTGCTAGGATTTTTCGATATCAGTCACTTCTTCTATCTGACGGTGGTACATACCGTGCAGGGGTTTGTCTTTCCATGAGAGTTCCTGCTCTTCCTTCCCTGGTTCCTCTGGTATCTGCTGCCTGAAGTGTTCACTAAGCATGTCATCACTCGGGGCCATCTTCCTGATGTATTCATGGATCTTTGTTGTTTCATCCTGGATAGTGGCTCTGATGCTCACTAATCCTCGGCCTCCTTCCTTCCGCTTAGTGTACAGTCTCAGAATGATTGTTTTGGGGTGAAACCCGCCGTGCACTCATTCATGAACAAGAGAGGAAAACAGGGTGTGTATAGGTCTCTATTTAGAAGTGCTTTATCTTTATTTTTTAATCTCACTTCCTAATGCACATTCCTTTGTTTGTTTGCACATTACTTCTTTACTTTCTGTTCTCTCAGCCTTATATTGTTTACTTGCCCTTTGCTATTGCCGTACATAAGGATATGTACATACATACTGAGAGTCGCTGTACCAGAGTCAAATTCTTCATGTGTCCAACACACCTGGCCAATAAAGCTGATTCTGATTCTAATTCCGATTCCAATTTTACCACCTTCTGTCTGTATGGTCACAGAAACCATCTTCTCACACATGCATTAGAGACAGCATTACAAAATAGGCTGTGCGCGTTTTGTTTATATTCACAATAAAATAAATTACAAATTAAATTACAGTGGACAAATGGCAGCGAGGAGGTGGCTGATATCACAAAACTTCATCCATCAAAAAAGAAATTCAAATCAGCAGCACAGGATTACTTAGCAGAAACGACCACCTTTGAGACCACCACCATCACTCTGTGCAGATCAAAGTATGTGTCCCATTTATAACTTTAATCCCAAACAAAAAATGTGAGCATATAAATGTCAGTCATAAAATGCAGCTATCAAAATAATTTTCCACACTGTCTGTTCCTTTGCTATTCTCTGATTTTCAAAAGAACATACACTGATCCGACCTCAGAAACACACACAAACTTTCCTGGTTCACAAAAGTGTCTGTGTGTGAGTGTGTCTGTGTGAGTGAAGGTAGAGTCAGGATCAGTCTGGTTGCTGTTGCGCACCTACAGTAAGTTGGCAACTATTTTGATAACGGTTTAGAGCACTGTCACAGCATTTCTCACTGTTGTTCTACAAACCAGTCAGTCAATTAATGGAGAAAATAATCAGCAGATTAATCCCTAATTAAAATAATCTATAGTTGCACTGGATACAAAATAGTTCAGCAGAGCTCCACCTCAACCAACTACAACCGCCAAGTCCTGCTTTTACATCAATGCATGAGTGATAGGCTGTTGATGGAAAGCACAAAGTCTGGCAACACTTGCAGTTTTCCAAGCAACGTCAATGCAAAGGTAAAAGACCAACATTTTGGGTCATAGGCTATTAATGAAATGATATAATAGTATAACAGCATATGATATATAGTATAACATTTTTCTGCCTACTTCTACATTAATACTTTAATAATACTTAATTTGACTTAACACTTCCAACACAGGACTTTATTTGTAACAAAGTAGGCTACTTTTATAGTGTGATTTTAGTATTTTTACTTAAGTAAAGCATTTGAATACTTCCTCTACTACTAGTACTAACATGCAAATTAACATGCTTTAATAATATAACATGTTATAGTTATATGCTTTTTTTAAAAATTGTGTTTATAATTCTGTTTATTCTTTAGGGTCAATCTAGTGCTGCAATCCAGCTCAATCAGCTGGCACCTACATTTAAAAAACACCCTTTAAGGGCCATTGTAGATCATAATAACCACCGTGTAATACTGTATGTACAAAATTGCACACTCACTGCAAAAAAACACTAAGTGGTTAGTCTTTCTCTAGTGAAACAATCCATATCTGTGTCATAAGACTGTAAAGCTGGCTGAGCTCATGACTTATGTCATTAATACCTGTATGTCCGTGTCTTTGACTGGCTCCAGTGGCTCAAATGTGGTGGCAGCACTTAGACTTTCCAACCTCTGAGAAATGTGGAAGATGTCTAAACCTCTGGAACCGAGGAGGATTGACCTGAGGGTGCAACAGAAAGGCAGTGAGAACAAATGAATGACTTAGACTGACAAAAGTAGAGATGGCAATGTTGGCACCAAGGATCAGGCTGTTTCGAAGCCATTCGAGACATCAGGTTTTGAGGTGACACTGTTTAGAAACCGTCATGTGACCACCACAGCAATGTTTTTTTTCTAATGTTTCTGCTATAGCTGCAGTTTAGCTATAGCACAGAAATGTCTCGAAACAGGTACACCCCCTGACGTTAAGCCCCTATGGTCCAATATAGGACCGTGATCTTGCTAAATCTACAATTTTTGTTTTTCTTTTTTATTTTAGTTACACAATGAAACATACAACAGGTTTAGCATTCCAGTCATTTAGCAGTCATGAGGCCATAGAGCATAGAGTGCTATATCCAGACCCAGAACACTCGTGATTACATGAATACCTTGTGATATTTTTATCCCATTACCTTGCTGTCAGATAGCCCTATCTGACACGGAACTGAAGCCGTTATATCATCTATGCTCTCTGCTCTCTTCAAAGCCACCCGACTCTTTTGACCAAACAGAAGTAAGAAACCAGCAACTCCTGTGTTCTCCTGTATTTCTGTCAAGGGAGTCTGACGGCTTTAAAAAAAAGTGACATAAGGACTTCAGCTCCATGTCGGAAAGGACTGTCTGATGGCAAGATAAAGACGTGCAACTCATCTAAATACAGATTACACTTCAATTTATATTGACTTTTTAGGCGTGTTGATAGTAACGTTAGGAGCTATAGCTAGTTTATCTTAATCAAAAAATAAAAATAATGTTTACTATTTACACATCATCATACACAGTTCCTCTCTCTCACACTCGCACACTATTTTGATTTAGGCTAAGCTATTGGTAGTAACTGTCATGAAAAACATGCAGAAGACTTCTTTTTCACATTCTCTATGACAAAGAACTGTAGTTCTTCCTCCCACTAGAGGACACAACAGACAACGACAGGCTACTGTGGTACTATCCATTCGTTAAAGAGTCAACATTATGCTTTTCCTTGTTCCTTGACTTACCTACAATGTTACAACAGTGAAATATCATCTTAGATATATACAAAGATCTACAGATCCAGAAAGAAAAGAGCAAAGGGCATCACAGAGGTCTGTGAGGAGTACAGTACAGGAGTACTGTAAAATTACAGATAGTTTACAAAAGCAGATGAATTTATAGTACAGTGTACACGTTTAATAAGCACTATACAGAAACATAGTAAAACCACAGAGATTTTCAGACTGTGCGGCAAGACAGTGTGGGAATGGGACATATTTCTTACGCTTTTACGTCAGCAGCATCTTGTGAGGTGCGGGTCAGGGTACGGGATCGAAGCCTCTCACCCGCCTGCTGGATCTCCTGGAGGTTCCTCTCAACATGCGGCAGCTCTGACACTGCTTCTGTCTCTGCGGCCAGCTGCTCTGCCTGCTGGAGCAGCTCCCCAAATCCCTCTGCATCCATACCTCTACACAGAAAGACACCAAGTGAATACAATGACAGTACATTAGGACTACATTTAAATATGGACTGGAGATATTGTCTACAGTGTAGAGTGCCCTATGCTCTAACGGCTTGGACAGTGACAGTTTTTTTTTTTCTCCAGCACAACTGATTTCAAACGAAACAATGTATATGAAGGTAAAATGACCACTTTCAGCTTTAGTGTTTTACAGACAATAACCCAAGGTTTAAGGGACCACAAATAATTTTAATTTTGAATTAGTTCCAAACCTACAGTGTACTTTACTTGCAACCAGGTTGATGGCAGAAAACCCTCAAAACAAGGCAGAAACAAAGATGGCTGTTGTACAGGCCTAGCAGTGCATCACCAGGTAACATGCCAAGTGACATACCAAGTGTCTAGTAATGTTTGTGGGCTGTACACTTTAAGCAGTTTCTTGGTTGAAAGATGAGCAACTAAAATCCAGAATATGTTAACATACAACAAGTAAAAATGGATACAATTCTAGCACTTGAACCATTATCATAGCTTGATTTTAAATATATTATGCAAGAAGGAATATCAAAGAGGGTCTCTTTCTAATGTTAAACCTTGTGTATAAAAGCAGCAAGTGCATAGTTCATGCCAAACAAACAATGAAAGATAAATATGTGTAACCTAGAGTATAAAAGGACCTATGGGTACCAGGACACCCTTTGACAGTTGACATCAACAGATGGACACCTGTTGACCCGCCCTGGTTGTCTGATTCGCTTGGCGCTAACACAATGCTAACATCTTGACTAGCTAGGTGAGTTAAGAACACACGCCTAACCCACATTATGGTAACAACAGTAGACATTGATAGATATTTTCGAATTCCTAGGAGGGCCCGTTAGACGTGAAACTAACAACTATGACAACAACCCCAAGCTCAGACTATTTTCCTTTACTTTGTCAAAACTGTCGCTTAAGAGTTAGCTAGCAGGCTAACGTTCTCTCGCATGCTCGCTATTGAATCAAATTAAATTGCTAGTAATTTACTTCACATTGCTGGAAGCCAGCAAACAAACTTCATACCTGCTGTATAGTACAGATGTAAGTATGAGCCCCTCTGTACACCTCAAGAGAATGCGCTTATGACTCCCATTTATTTGGTTTTATTCAGCAACACATGCACGAAAGTACAATAATTGGGCCGGGACTTCTGGAGTCGAAGCTGATTGGACGACGCCCAGTCCGTACCGGAAATCACACTTGCTCGCTTGATTTGAGGATATGACAAACCTCTCTGCTCCGCCATTTGGACCGGAGGTCAAGAACAAATTAAAAAAAAAAATCCTGATGTCAAAACTAAAAATCATGCCTGTGATGAAAAAGTATTCAGATCCTTTACCTAAGTCAAAGTATCATTGTAAAAGTATTCCACTACAAGTTAAAGTTAAAGGACTGCTTAATTCTTCAGCTTATCAGAAAATTTCAAATTCTAAATCACCAAATATAGAGATAATACAGATTTCATTGGACAGCAAGGGTATGAAAAATTCCAATCTCAAAAGCAACTAGCTGTCAGACAAATATAGTGGACTAAAAAGTAGGCTATGGCATTTGCTTCAGAGATATAGAAATATAAATCTGCATAAAAATGGAAATGCTCAAGAGTAGAGTAGAGTAGGTACTTTATTGATCCCACAGTGGGGAAATTTCTGTTACAGCAGCAATAGAGAACAACCAACATAACACCATAAAAACAGACAAATAAGAACAGAACTTCATAAAAACACGGAAAAGAACACAACGAGGACACAGCTACTGTAACTTGCTGCCACTCCACGTGGCGCATGCATACATAAGTACATAGTAACAAAGAACACTTAGTCTTAAAATAAACAGTTACATAAAGGCAACTGTTTATTTAATTTAAGTACAATACTTTCTTTCTTTCTTTCTTACTTGAGTAAATGTAGTTAAATTCTACTACTGATGTCAGCAGAAACAGCAACATCATGTAAACACCAAAGCAGACAAAGCATTTCTTATTTTTGTAGTTTAATTCCAATACCCTTTTTAATTTAATCATTTATTATGCAAAAGTAGGTCAAGGTCAGAGTGTTTATTTGTCATATGCACAGTTAGGAAACGTGTTTCCCTGTACAATGAAATTCTTACTTTGCCGTCCACATGAATGCCACAAAATACAAATGAAATATAAAGTAGATAAATAAGTAACACAAAATCTAAGGCACTTTAAGCAGCAAATACAGCAATATAATAAAAATATATAAGAATATAATA